ACACGTGAACAGCAGAAACAGCATGAATATTTAACATTAATGCAATAAGCTACATACGATTCCAATTAATATTATATTCGAACATTATTTAATGATGGAAAATTTTATTTATTTAGATAACTCGATTAGAATTATTTATTTAGAAAATTTTATTTATTTAGATAACTCGGTTGAATTAAAATTGAGTTTCAATTCAATTTATCATAAATTTAAATCTATAGAGAAAATATGAATATTTTAAATTATAATTAAAATAAAAAATAACAGTTACGTTCAGTTCCTCACGACTAAATTCATTCAGAAGTTACACAATTTTAAAAGCATATAGAAAGAAAAAAGACTAAATGTAACCTCAAACATATGATGTCCAATATTGTGAATGAATTTAATTAATTTACCATTTTGCGCGTGCATTAAATGAAATTTGGTGTTTCTTAAATCGCTAAGGATGTTTCAGTTCATGCGACGTTATACATATACATGTGTACTAAAAGTACATAGATATGCTTTAAACATGTAGCGTTTAATTTGAAAGTGAATGACCGCTGACATCATACCTGAGAACAGTCGGATGATTTGTAAAGAATTGTAAACTCTACAATTTAGAATGCTAATGTCTGTAATATCTCTCTAGAATAGACTACTGTCGCACGAGTTGCACAGAGTTGAACTTGTCACGATATCAGCTAGCCGACAAGTGGCTGTTATTATCGCTGAATACTGGCCTACAACTCCACTTCGCTTTCGATACAGGCGCAGAAGGGTGCGAGTCATGCGTGCGATTCACAGGGATGTACCTAAGAAACACCTACAGAATGTTCCTATTGAATTAGCTGAAAGTCGAATTGGGAAAGAAAACAGCAGAGAGAACACTCTCCTCCATTCTTTTTTTTTTATCCAATTGTAATTACAATCCAGTGTAATAATACTTATTTCATTCCATTTTATAAAAATTACATATAATTATATGTATATGAAACTTACTATTTAATTTAATTCAATAGGAATTATATTGGTCGTCTGTAGAACTGATTGTTATTATATATAGGTTATATACTGCCTTTTAGAAACCAATGTATTATTTTTAATCACCGTTGTAAAATAAGATAATAAAAGGTAAAACCTTTGAAAAGTTTAATACAGCAGTATGTCCTTAACACTTAATAAAATACATGAAGATATATATAGAATTTCTCATTCAGTATATTTGTTTCTCCACCATGGCTACGCATGTAAATACACACGTATACGTACATATCGTAATTTTACATATAATTGTCTTTTGCATTATGTTGCACGCTATGCGTAACAATTTTTTTTTTTTACATATGAGATAAAAACAATGTATAATACAATTGCAAACATATTTCAGATACTGTATGTATGTATTATTAAATATTTTCATCTCTTATATAGTACAACTTCAGTACATTCAATAAAAATAAAAATTTCAGATTTAAATAGGAATAATTTTAAATCTGAATTTAAAATTAAGAATAGGCAAAATAAACAATTCATAATTTTTATAAATTGATTGATTAAACGTCAAATTCATCAATATATCGTGAATGTAATCAGGGATAATGTATTATAATAAACACGTGTCCTTGTTCTACATTACAATTATTGACGTGTTACATTTCGCAGTTGCTGACATTATCTTCAAATGAATGTCAAAAATTTAGTTTATAATTAAGAATTATTATAGTAGAATTTAGTTTATATTAGTAGAATTATTATAGTAGAATTTAATGATTCTACTAATTCAAATAACAAAAAATTTCAGCCAAAATTCAATGATTACGTAAATTTTTAATGTAAATTTTAAATTTTATTATTAAATAAATTTTATTTGTACTATCTTTTTACAATAATTATTTAATTATTATTTAAGTATAAAATACAATATAAACAATAACAATTACTAATTTAACTAATTTATATTTTAAATCGTACCTAACATGTATTATGAAAGATACCTTTCGACGTAATGTACTATTTCAAAAATGACTTCGACCATGATAAGAACAATAATCATCCATTCTAAACGAATGTGATGACGATCACTTAAATGCGTTGATAAAATTCCCACAAGTTCGACACAATGATTTAATTTTTCGTTTATTACCTACAAAATAAAATTTAAAGGACATAAAGAATAATTTATTTTACATCGAATGTTTTCTTAAAACATCCTACTTCAGATTTATATTAAATAATCAAGTCAATAATCTTTTTTTTAAACTTACTCTTGTGCGTTTTGCAATGTTAAAATACGAACAAGTTTCTTGATAAAGACGTTCTAAATTTTCTCTTTCCCAATAGAAATCTGGAGTATCTAATAAATCTGAACTTAAATTAATTGAATGTCGCAAAGCAAATAATTCCCCTTGTTTTTTTAATACTTCATGTTGAGTCATTCTCAGCTTTTTACCAGCTTTCAAATCTTCAGTAACAAATGCTATGGAATCTATATAATGATCTAAAGATGCTTCCCATATACCTAACTTGACTGACTGTGCCATTGCATTTGAAAATGTGTATTTGTCTAACTTTGTTGCATTTAAATCCAAAATAATGTTACCATCCTTTATGTGATTTCTTTTTCTGTAAAATAATTGAAGCATAAAAAATATATTCTACGTTTATAGAATTAAAATTATTGTAAATTATGAATTTTACCCATAATCAGCATAACCGTAACACATTAATTCACTTTCAGATTTTACAATATATTCCGTATAACGATTTTGTTCGTATTTTTTCAAAAATTTTAATACATTATCACATTCAAATTCAGAAATATTCCACATCACTATAGTACCTTCTCGAAAAAAGAAAATTTCTCTGGGTTCATGATTTATTTCATATTTTGCCACAGCATGTATAACATCTGGTAAAGCTGTAAAAATAATCTCAGTAAAGTACAATCTCATAAACCCGAATACATATGTTTTTAAAAAAAGTATATTTCATAAAAATTACAATAGTTGAAATATCGATAAACTGAAGATTCAAAAATCAATAAAAATTTTTTATATATAAAATGTTTTTCAAAATTTCATTTGGTTATCATTTTATAAATTAAAAATATTTTTTAGATAATACCTTTTAATTTTATTGTAATTTTATTGTAATTTTATTAAAATTTTTTATAATTTTTGTAAAAATTTATAATTTTATATTTATATGAATACATATTTCATTATTTATATTTGTAATGTTACAAATATTTATTATAAGTATTTATTTTAGTAAAATGTAATAGCACTATTACACATAATTAAATGAAGGATCTTAAATACATTGGCAGTTAATACACTCATTTTGAAAAAAAATTATATATATATATATATATATGTATATAAAGTATCAATATAAAATATATGTAGTATATGAAATATGATATATGAAATATATCAAAATAAGAAAATATTAACTTCACATTTAACAATGAAAAAGAAATAAAAAATAATTCAATATTTTGTATATGAATTTATAAGAATACTTATTAAAAAATATAATCTATATTCTATATAAACTAAATAAATTTGGCTTTAACTAAATAAATTTGGCTTTTAATAAAGTTCAATAAACTGATCAATATATCTTTATAACAAAATAAAATTTCATTTCATGTATAATATTATTCCATATTTTATTAAAAATATTTTTTTTAATCTATTAGAAATGGACTATCACATGCACCCAATCCTGTTGCGACACCACCCTCATTAGCAGTAGCTAACTTTGTCCGTAACATATGACCACTTTGCTTATTAACATATATATCATTTCCATTCGCTATTATAATACCAAATATTCCTAGTTCAGAAACTAATTCTTGGGGTTCTATACTGATACTATTGTCAGGTCTAATCATATAACTCTTATGAATTGGTGGATGAATTTTATCCATAAGAATCCAAGCTACTCTGTCTTTCTTATTCTTTACAGATTCTAGAAAATGTTTTATATCTAATCCATATTTGTTATTGCAACCTCCTTCCCGTTGAGGCTTTAATACAAAACGATGTGGATCTGTAATTCCCATTTCTATGGCTGCATCTCCATGTTCATCAAAATCTAATGCATAAAGTTCTATACAAAATAACATAATATTTCAGTTGATATCTCAATGTCATGTTTACGCTAATGGTAAAATAATTCACTTACCAGTGAATATTTCTTTAATCTCTGCACATGTTTTTTCATTTTTTAAAAATCTACTAATTACACCTGGCTTTGCAAGTGCCTGTTGAACTTTTTTAGTTCCTGCTAAATGATACTGTATAGTGGGACATTTAATTGCTAGTGATCTTTCAATTAATAATCTTACATCCCATTCCTTTTGTGTATGATATTGTCCAGGCTCATACCCAGATCTGTAGTACACTACAGAAACAATATAATTCTCCACTATCAGTTCTTTGTTAGAATCCAATTTGGCAATAGCTGCTAATTGTGTTAAATTTCTTCGAATGACTCTGACATTTGGATTTTGTTTCCTAATTTCAAATTCATGGAAACGTTGATCACATATATTATATGTAACATCTTCAACAACAAATAAAATTACTGCTCTGCAAAGAATTAAGTGTTAAATACATATTTAATTTGTTCAAGTTTTATAATATATCAACTTTAAAATTAACAAAAATATCATTAAAAACATACTGTTCATTTCCATATATCTTCCATGCTTTAATCATACTTGAACATATTATTTGCAACGCATTATTCTCTGGAAGATTTTTTATTTCTTTGTAATACCCAAGCTCTCTTAATACAAATTTATGTAATTCAGTTGAAGCAGGTCCTAACCAACCAAAGCCAGATGCAATTGTATTTATTTCAACTTGTTTCCAACAACAATATGGCAGACACTTTTTAATCATATCTTTTTGTGAACAAGTTGTATCCAACATTAAGTCTGAACGCAATATACCAAGAGATATTTTCTGTGCAGATCCCCCTTCACTGTTTATAATTTTACAGATTTCAAATAATTTTTCGGTAAAATTATCAACTTTAACTATTTCTTCTAAAGTTTCCTTTAAAAAATTGTAATCTTGAGCAACTCTGTGTATAAGTATATTTAATACTATTTGAATTTGACAAGCATTCTCAAACTCTTTTCTAGGAAATGGAGATGGCATCAAGATAAATGGAGCAAATTGTAAGACATTTTTATTCAATTTCTGTTTTGACCTCATACATACTCCATGTACAAGTGCCCAATCTTTTGCTTTTTCTATCAACTCTTCAGTTTCTTTTTTAGAAGGTAAACTAAGCATTATATCCATAGTTCCTTAATGTGGATGTTTAGATAACCTTTCAAATCACAGATTTTATATAAATTTAGATAATAATATCTATCTAGATAATAATATCTTGTATTAAATTATATAAATTTAAAATTTAAATTTATTTTATTCGTTGTATTTTATATTAACACTATATATTTTTACATTAGCACTATATATTTTACAATATATCCATATTTTTCAAAGAGATAAGTTATTAAGCCAAGTCAAGCATGAAAGTAATGTTTCACAATAATACGATTGAATTATCTACTTTTTCAATTAATTGTATCTGACATCGAAAGTAAATAAAATTCTAAATAACCAAATTTTTTTTTATTACATCATGCATTACATCATGTGATATGGAAAAATTTTAACAAACTCTATTGTTTTAGTGTTTTACTAAACGAATATTCAAGTATTATTAACATATTTACATTATACATATAGATTAGAGAAAATCTTAAACTAGAATTTTTATTTAATTATGAAACAATTTGAACGTAACAAACAATATAAATAATTACTTTCAATTAATTTAATTTGTATTAAATTAGATTTAGTACTGAAATAAATAATTAAATAATTATTTCGTATCTTGATGAAAAATAACATTTCATAATCAATATTTTGATGAAAACTAATTATGATATCATCTGCAATTGAATAAATTATTATCCTAACAAAAATTGATCAATGTAAGTTTATGATTTATTACTTATTACCTTATCAATGTAAGTTTATGATTTATTACTTTACTTGCTCTAACTCTACTTCTAACTTTTTATAATAGAACATAGATAATATAGATAAATACTTCCGGACTATAACAACTGATCTTTAAAGATATATTCTACAGGTACAATTAGATAAAAAATGTGATATATATATATAAGTTTACAACTTTTATACAAGTTTAATTGCTAGACTTTGAGACAACCTTCCATTTTCATTTTGAATTTTTTATTATAAATGAATGTAATAATTCTAATATACTTACAGCTAGTTGATGTACTTATACTGCTAGGCATATATAGCTTTTGCTCAATGAGACCTTGTACTAAAGCTTCCAAATTATATTCTTCTGAAGTAGCTAATGCCTTTACGCTGTATGCCTGCCAAAGAATAAAAATTTAATTTAAGTCTATAAATTTTAATATCGTATATTCTAAAAAATTAATTTCAAATTATACGAAATTATTACATCATCTTACACTTTGATTTAATGTAAATTTAAATTAACTAACATAAGCTTTTGTAGAAAATGAAATTTTGTTCTACTTTTGAACATTAGATTTCATGTTACTATAACAATTGAAATATTTCATTTTTTAATAACTACAATTACTTACAGCATTTGTTTCATTATTAGTAACAGGTTTCCTTTTCTTGAGTCTTTTTTTCATTTGAGTAATAGAAAAATCATCTGTACTTTTGGTTGGGAGTAATTTTAAATTAAATTTAGTTTTTTCAAACTGAACTTTACTAGTGTATAAGAAATTGTTATGACATAATTGTGCACTGGATTTTATCATAAGTATACGTGTTGTTAACGGGCGATTACATGTTGTGAAAACAGTATGTATTTTTCTACAAATATCAAAATTAATGTTGCTCCTATACGTTAATATAATACATCTTTGTATCATACAATTCATTTTATAGACTATTGAGTATAACAACCTTATTTTTTAGTTAGTTGACAAAAATAAAATACTAAATATTTCGTCAAACTTTTTCTATATTTTGATCAAGGATGTCTTATTTTTATTGAAAGAATTATTATGAGAAAATATTCATAAGATTATAATTCGCAACATGATATACGCACACGTAGGTACACATGCATATACACACACACACATATATATATATCTGTACAAGGTGTTCCAGTAATCATGAAACAATCGAGAAGAGATTAAATCTTTTCACATTGAAAATAAGTAAAACAAACGTTATGTATAAATGGAAATAATTTTATTGCAATTAATGTGAATGTCACGAAATAAAAGTGTATGGAATACTAGTTTATAATCTACGTTCATTTCATTGGAATTGCCATGAGAATGCACCTTTTTTGTAGATGCGTATCTAAAAAGAATACATGATCCTCGTGTCGTAATGTAGAAAAAAGCTACCAAAATGTCAAGAAGACATCACCATGTATTTTCGATCCAGTGTCATAGAATCTGAACTAAAAATTGTACCTTATTAAAAACAAATTAAATTTCAAACAAGCATGGAACTAATGCGAAATCTGGTTACTTGTAAATTAAAATGTTATCTTCTCAAAGCACCGAAAAAATTTTGTTTGTATCATGTAAGACACATCAGGTAATCTAAGCTTCATAACAAATTAAATATGTACATTAATTGAGTAAACACTTGTTTTAATTCAAACCATACAGAAATAAAGTCTTCTATTAAATTAATAAGCATAGTGTCTTCAACGTTATACATACGTAACGAAGATTTTATATATAAAAAAAAAAAAAAATACATAAGACATATTAAAACATTGTAGTAAATAATTAATAGTAGATTGAGATATAAATGAATTTTTATTTTTAAAATATTTATGGTATGTAAAAATAAAAAATACCAATTTTTATTATTAGACTGCAAATTTTTATGCATTTATATAAAATTTGAGAGATATCCATAAAGTATTTATTATAAAATTTTTACTAAATAAAATATTTGAGCTCTGTATATCTGTAGTTGTGTTCATAAAAAACATATATTTGCATAAAAATCTATTAGAAAGATTTATGTTATGAAAATGTATTATTTATTAATTATACTATGGTAACTTCCTATTGCAGATTGGCTGAAGTAGGAAAATTAGAAACACCAAAATTACAAGGAAAGTACGAAACTGGTCAATTAATTCTGCACAGAGTATTTGGTTATAGAGGTGTAATATTGTTTCCTTGGACAGCAAGAGTTTATGACAGAGATATTCCAAATAAAAGAGAAAGGTAAATTTATCTTATATACAAATTAAATTGTAAATTACTCAGAAATTTCATTTGATTTTAGTGACAAAAATGATCGCTATAATAGCGTGGGAAAAGAAGTAAAAGGTAGAACTCATACTTTTTACCAGGTATTAATTGACCAAAGAGATTATCCTTTTATAGTAAGTACGAAAATAAAACATCTGATGGATATTTTAATCTAAATAATTATGTTTCAGTCAAGTTCTGCTATATGAAAGAAAATTTAAAATTTTGTAAATTCTATCTTCATATTGAGTTATTAGATGTTCCTTATTGTGTTCCTTAAATGCATATGTAAAAAAAAAATATTATAAATCATTTTACATATTTATATGTACAGCGTGCTCAAACAGAAGCTGTAACATTTTTGAGTAACCATGAAAGCAGTCATAGCTTATACACAGTCCCAGGATTGGATTATGTTGCTCATGAAGATGTTTTACCTTATACCACAAATGAGAAAACTGCATTGCAACATGAACTATTTGACAAATTTCTAACGTATAATCCAAGTCAAGATCCATGTTTTGTTGCACAAGAAACTCTAAGAGCATGGCAAAAGAAGAATCATCCATGGTTAGAGTTATCAGATGTACATAAAGAAACTACTGAAAATGTTCGCGTTACTGTTATTCCGTTTTATATGGGTTATAGAGGAAATCAAACTACAGCTGCACATTGGGTAAATAGAACATATTTTCTGCGAATCGTAGTTCAGCTTAGCTGAAAATAAATAATTTTATTGTAATTAAATAAAATAGTGGCGCTATTGCATTCGATTGGAAAATTTGGGCGATTTGAGTGTACAATTACGCGAAAGACACTGGAGAATATTTAGCCTTTCTGGTACGCTTGAAACTGTACGAGGCCGAGGTGTTGTTGGTCAAGAACCTATTCTGTCAAAAATGTTACCTGCTTTTCAATATAGTAGTCATGTGAGTTTACAAGCTGCAAGTGGTCACATGTGGTATGTATTTCACTCATATTTTATATTTAACTTATGTTATAATATTATTGATTATAAGTTGAATATTACATTTTACTAAATCTATTACAATATTTTAGGGGTACATTCAGAATGGAAAGGGAAGATGGATACGCATTTGATTGTAGGATTCCACCATTTTCTTTGGAATCTAAAATAGAGAAACCACCTACAAATACGAACATTGATTCCTAACATTGTGCAGGAAGTGATGGAACAATAAATAACACTAAAAATTGATGAACAATATAAACTTGATATGTGTGATCATTACTTGTATATTAGAATTTAAGCTGTGTAGTTTTTGGTACATAGTAAATTTATAACAAATGAAACTTTCGTATTATTTCATGTTATTTTAAGTATAATAAGATGTTATAGATATAAAAATAAAACATAAATAAAATACTATAAATATATCTGTTCTTTATCTTGTAATTAGTTTAAAAATAAACAAATATATGACCTTAAAATGATTTGAAATCTATCCATAACATTAATAATTTCTTCTAATAAAACTTATAACTTGTATATATAATTGCACAATACATTTCAAAATGTATATGGATATAAAATTATGTAAAAAATCAATTCAAATCAAATCACTCAATTTTTCAATATTAATAATATTTTCAAAAATTAAAAATGATTTCTACAATTTATATAAAAATTATAATAAAAATATTAAAATTACATATCATTAATGATCTAAAATAATTGTAAATAATTAAGAAATGTAAATATTTTTCATATTAAATTATAAATATAAGTAGATCAAAAATCATATTGATTATTAACAGAAAATAACTTGTTACTAAATTATCACATTATATGAAAGAAATTTAAATATATCTTTAGAAATATTTCCAGAGGCTTAAATTTATCCTCCCGCTGGTATAAATATTTGTTTTTTGATTGGTTTCTGATATAACTTTTTAAGGTGAATTCTAAACATAATTTTTGCTTAAATATCTTTATCAACGCTAAAGCACATAAATTATCACGAAATGCAGATAATGTTTCTTTTATCTATCAAACATTCGATTTTATCTATAAAATGAATAAAATGCATGTAACAAAAACGTGATACGTATTCGTGACATATTCTAAACTTCACATAGTACTTGGTGGAAACTCTTGAATCCATTACAGTTAAAGCAAGAAGAATTCATACATCACGATGGTTGCCTGTAAGTTGCGTTTTTATTTACATTTATATGTTTAATTCTTATGCTTTTCATAAAAATAATATTTGTGCAACGCGTACAAAAAAAAAAAATGGACATTTCATTACAGCGATTCTTAAATTTTATGAAATATGTTCTGTTTAGCCACTCCCCGTTCTTATTAACTTTTGTTATATTGATGTTGTTGATAAAATATGTATTTTCTAAAAAAGTTTATTAGTTTTAATTAGCTCATGACAACGCCCTAATTGTTCAGCTTAACGAGCAATTATATTCTCTCCTCTCAAAAATAAAATTGTTTGGAATATTTGATATTTAAGTTAAACATATGTATTTACAACGAAATATTTCGCGCACATATTTTGAAAATATTTAAATTAAATTTATTAACGTGATTGTGATATTAATTTTATAATTTTTGACATATATTTTTTTTTACGTGTTCAAAGTATTAGCCTATTAATATATTTAATGCATTTATTTAACGAGAAGTATTTACATTAGTGCCAACTAAATAATTAATTTGATTTTTAATTTATTTAATTTTGAAAATTATATTATTCTCATAAAGATGTACGTAGCACTTCAGTATAAAATGAAACAATAGTATGTTATTAAAATGATCTTAATTAATTAATGTATCGTATCTCTACTTGTATCTCTATTTTACAAAGACTGAAAGTTATTTTATTTTTAAGTAGCAGGTGTTCTAACCACGGAAGTTTTGGATCAGCTACGTGCAAAATTCTTTGAAGATAATCGCAACATTTTGGCACAAAATGTATGCACAAGAACCAATCCTTTGGAAGCTTGTGTTTCACGAAAGGTTTTGCAAGAAACACAGCATGTTTTTACTCATAAAATTGCAACAGAAGGAAAACCTATAACAAATCAAAAGAATTCTGGCAGGTGTTGGGTATTTTCCGCTTTAAATGTTATGAGAAGTGCCTTTATGAAGCAATACAACTTGGATGAGTTTGAGTTTAGTCAAGCTTATTTGTTCTTCTGGGATAAAGTTAATATTACATGTCTTATAATATATGTGATTTTTATTTCATTTTTTATTAATATTTTTTTTTTTCATTATACAGGTTGAAAGATGCAATTACTTCTTACATAATATAATAAAAACCGCTAAACGAAATGAACTGGTAGATGGTCGATTAGTGTCATTTTTATTACATGATCCTATTTGTGACGGAGGACAATGGGACATGTTTGTGAATCTTATAAATAGACATGGTCTTATTCCTAAAATTTGTTTCCCAGAATCATACAATTGCGAATCTAGTTCACGCATGAATACTCTTTTAAAAAGTAAATTGAGAGAATATTCCAAGATTTTGAGAGATTTAGTATCCAATGGGGCAACAGACGAAGAATTAGAAGCTCGGATTCTAGAACAAATGATCGTAATTTACCGAATAATTGGTATTTGTTTAGGCATACCATCGAAAACAATCACTTGGGAATATTATGATAAGTCAAAGAATTATAATTGTATTGGACCTATAACACCAGTAGAATTTTATGAAAAACATGTGAAACCCTATTATAATGTAGATGATAAAGTATGTTTAGTAACAGATCCTAGGCCATCTAATCCATATGGAAAGCTTTACACCATAGACTGTTTAGGAAATGTTTTGGGAGGAAGACCTACACTGTATAATAATCAACCACCCGAGTTATTAATGAAATTATGTGCAGAAAGTATAAAGCAAAATGAACCAGTGTGGTTTGGATGTGACGTGAACAAACGATTAATAGCTAAACAAGGAATACAAGACATGAGAGCATACGATTTTGAATTAATGTTTGGAACTGATATTCAAGTTAATCTTACGAAAGCAGACAGATTACTTTATGGAGATTCTATGATGGTTCATGCAATGACACTTACAGCTGTTTCGATTGATGTATGTTAAGAACTCGTACAAATATATCTGTTATCAGTGTACATACTAATGACTATTTATTAATTTTTTTTTCAGAATGACGGTAAAATTAAACAGTTTCGAGTAGAGAATTCTTGGGGAGATGATCAAGGACAGAAAGGATATTTATTACTAACAGCTGATTGGTTTTCCGAATTTGTTTTTGAAGCAGTTATTGACAAAAAATTAGTACCTGCAGACGTTTTAAATGTATTTAAACAAGAAGCTATTACTCTACCCGCATGGGATCCTATGGGTACACTTGCTCACTGATAATAATGTAAGCTTAAAATTACTTGAAGATGAAATATTTTAGTTAACGAAAATGTATATATAACAAAAGATTAAATATCAAATAAAGTTTTAAGCACATTGGTACAGCAAAGTACAATAAATTAAGACTTTAACACTTTTATAGTTCATTAAAAATAACTAAGGAATAATTTTAGAAAATTAAAATACGATATTTCAATTATTTAACACCTACTCAGGTGCAAAATAATATATATTGCTATGATTAATAAAATATTAAAACTGTATATTTAACATAGTTCCTAAAATTTAAGATGATTACATATATAATTTTGTTTGGAAACATTTACTTACAAAGCAATTATTTTTCTTTTTTTTCTTTTATATTTTGAATATTAGATATTATAAATTATGCGTGATTTAAATACACAAAGAAACCAAATGAAATTAGAGATATGTTTTAAATAGATATGCGTTTTCATTTAGAACGCATAATGTTTTATTTAGAAAGCTTCAAGAATATAGTAATTGAGTTTACATTATATCTCTATTTTAGATGGTTACAAATTGAAAAAAAAAAACTTGTATGAAGATAGAAAAAATAATTGTATGAAGATTAATAAAAATGTTGAAAATATATACGTTTAGTTATTATCTTTTATTAACATTTGTTCAATAATTACAAAAAATACGTCTTTGGAAACAATATTTTGTACACATTATTTATCTCTAAACATAAATATCAAATTTAATTAGCCTAATTTTAAGTTGTTCAAAAATTTTATATGTAACTAATAGACAGTTTTATGCCGTTTTTTTTGTATTCTATGACAATATTTAAGTTTTGCCCATATACCTTGACACATATTTTGCAAACGAATGTCATTCTGTTTAATAGAAAATTTATAAATACACCTTACCATTCTTTTTGGTTTGTTTAACTGGCCTTGTTGAATTAAACTCAAAGCAGCATACAATTTACAACGAGCAATTAAAAAGGGATCTCTGACACGAAGTGCTAATTCAAATTGCTTTATAGAAATTTTTCCAGCCATTTCAGCCTGTGTAGAAAAAAAATATTTAAATACAGATGACACATTATAATATAAATCATTCAATAAAAAATCATGCAAATATGATATCTAGTAATCTTGAAAATATATTAGAAATTTATTAATGGAATAACATTTACACAGTGTTGAAATTCTTCTCCCAAAGCAGAAAATGCTCCACCCAAAGTAGACAACCAAGACATAGCATGATCAACTTCTCTTCTTTCCATTGCCATTTGAGTTATCCTTTCATTCCTAAAATTAAAAAAATCATACTGTAATATAGATTTAAAATAGTAAAAAAATTGTTATTAAATGAGCAATTGGAATCTTGCCATTTATAATCTAAGAATTGCTTTTCTGGCATTTGTAATCTTATTAAGATAATTGATGAATTTACTCTGTTCAACAATCTGTATGCTAAATATTGTAACAATTTTGTAAGTGCAGCTTTTCGATATGTTTGTGAATTAGTTAATGTCATAATATATGCTGATACAATGTAGGCATTCAGTCCTTTCTTGTTTAACCAAATTTTGTTCATTTGTACCCCATTACTTTCACTGTCTTTGTTCGTGTCAACGTTTCTTTGACACATACCTTTAGTTTTTCTTACTTTTTGCTCATATTTAATCGCAGAATAAGATGTAACAATAACGCTATCGAAAATTCTGGTGCCTTTATATATAATTAATTTTACAGAATTATCCATGTTTCTAATTCAGCAAAATAAACGATCCTTTAAATATATAAGAATGTTGTTGTTTCGTTGTATGTTGGACCATTATTAAGTTAGAATATAAATAATACATATTAAGAATTTTCATCACTGTTTCGATTAACTTTCATAAATATCAGCTATAAACTTTATATCTGTAAAGTCAACGACCGTATCTAATCTGTAAAAGAATTTGTGCTATTTTATACTTTTAAGTAAAAATTCTTCCGTTCGTATAAGATTTCGAAAGAAACATTTTTTATGACATGTTTTCTACGTAAGCCTTTCAGTTGACAATTTGAGGTTAGAAATGTCGTAGATTCTATATACGCGTGGTGAAGATAAGAAGATGGTAGGGATGATAAATGATAACATATCATGCAGGTTACTTTATCTTAATAATTGCAAGTATTTATCTTAACTTAATGACTTATTTAACTTTATAATATGTATTGCGTAATAATTGTAAGATTTGAATTTCTATTAAATTGCATACTAAATGTACATATGTGTTAATTTTTAATAATTTTTTAAACTTTTGGGCAGAAAAAATGATTATAAAATAATTTTTATTGAATTTTTGGGTAGAAAAAATAACTTTACTTCTGTTCAAATATAACTCTGTCAAAATTTGAACGTCTGATTCAAAATTTAAATAAAATTGATAAATGTCTGGCGATGATGACGATCATAGAGGTAAAATAGAAAACTTTATACGAAATAAAAGACGAAATTTACGGAAGATAAATCGGAGATTATTACATATTGAAGATAAACCTTTGTCAATAAATATCTTTTTATTCAAACATTTAACTATTTTGAATAAAGCATTCTTATTGGTCATTTAATACTGTGTGTA